AAGTATATATTTTGAGAACCCCACATCTTTAAAGTTGTTATTCTTTTCTCTGGTTCGATCTAAACTTGAGTATGGAGCATTGATTTGGTATCCTCATGTAAATTATCTTTCAGATATGATTGAGAACATTCAGAAGAAGTTTTTAAAATTTTTATTTTATAAAGCTTTTGGATTTTATACTAATTTGATGCCATATTCTGAGTTATTAGATATTTTTGAAGTCCCTAGCCTAACAAAAAGAAGTAAATTAAATGCATTACTTTTCTTATATAAACTTTTGGATGGTAGCGTTGACAATAGTGATTTAGCTTCATGTATCAGCTTTGCTGTTCCTCGCCTCACCTCACGAAATGCAAATTTATTTTTTATACCATTTTCAAAAACTAATTTGGGCTTCTATTCACCTCTAAACAACATGTGTAGGTTATATAATTTGTCTTGCCGAGAAGTGGATATTTTTAATGATTCTTTTAGTATGTTTAGATTTAAATTAAATAGTAATATAAATAATTTTTAATGAAAAGTGCCAATTAGTCATGTTTGCTGGTTGCATGTTGTATATTATTGTTTATTTATGGTTCTTTGTTAGTGCATATAGATTTATTTATTTATCAGTAATTTATTTATTCATTTATCTATAAGTAATATAGTTATTTAAAACCAGTTTCAAACTATTTCTATTATTAATATTTTTTATGTGCATGTATCAAAGTTGTATGCTGTTTGCTGTAGGGTAGTTGTCATGCATGTTATTTATGTTATTGTGTATTAGTGCCTTATGTAATTGGCTGTTAAGCTGTATAAGAGCACTTAATAAAGAATTTTGAATTTTGAATTTTTGAATTTTAACTTTTGATATATTATGTTGTGCTTGTTTACCCCAAAATACTCAAGGGTTCCTGGTAAATATCCTAAAACAATGTAGACTCAAACTATAAGCACAAAATTAAAGTATTACTGGACTTTGTGTTGCAAGAAAGTGGAAAGCCCTTTCCCTACTTAAATATTCGGTAAAGCAAAATAAAACTGATTAATTTATGACGCAATTTTAAATCAAACTACACACCAGTATTTGTGTATTTGTAAAAATTCTAGAATTTCTACTTTTTATATTTAAGTACGAAAATATATATTTTATACATTTCTTTCACAAGATTATAGTTAATTGTCTGAAGCCACTTATTTATTGATTGTCTACACGTGAGAAAACTTCCCCAAGCACTCGCCAATGTTTCTCTCCCCTCATTCAATAGTTGGATCGCCGTGGTGTAGGGTGACCAGGGTTGTACGCGCGGGGAAAATTCCCCGTTGAATTTCCCGGAGTGTTACCCATTACTTGTATTCACTTCAGAGCCATTCTATAAACATTCACACTAGTAGGAGTTAATTATTTTCGTTTACGAATGACATAATGAAAACCAAATACACATATCAATATTTGCAAATAATGTAATTTTAATTGTTTGAATGTAAGCTTCCGTTTATTTTTTAATAGAAACTAAAAAAATATGCTAACAATTTCCTTTTTACGTTTTAAACTTCTTCTAAATAAAAGATAAATTTCCATCAGGTCCTATATCAGTAAAAAGTACTCTAGTTATACTAGGTACACTATAAAACGATTTTTTACATTTTGTATGGAATGAAATAAAATAAACGTATCAGTAATATGACACATACTTGTTTTGAACAGTCCTTATCATGGGTATGGGTGTATCTATGATATTTCTTAAAGAAATCACAACAATTGCAATTAGGCCTACTTTTAAAACCGTAATTTTTACTGCAATGGGATTTTTTTGTTTTGAACTTTTGAACAAGGGCCATAACGGACTAAATTTTAATCAAAATTGTTCCGGCCATTCATGTAAAAACTAGATGTTTCCGATATTTTATGAGTTTTTTGTAAACAAGTTAAAAAAATAAAAAAACTCCTAGAGACCATTTTATAGACCACATTTGAACAAAGTCGGGCCACAGTTGTTTTCTGTGGTACACATCTACGCATACATACAAACAGACAATAGGCCTACTTCGAAAATCACTTTTTGGGACTCAAGGGGACTGTAAAATTTAGACGAAAGCAATGATTTTTCCATAACCTATGTATAGGGAGAGAAAGTAAAAATATAGCTGATAAACTGTTCCAACCTTGGGTTTTTACTCCATACATCTTAGTTCCAGCTGAGGTTAATCAGAAATATTTATTTGTTGTAACTAGTGGGAACAGAAAACGTAATACTATAACGGTTATAGTAGTACGTTTTCTGTGCTAGTGGGTGAAGTGGCACTTTGCTGCACGCGAGAGAAATGCTTACTCCGTAGGCGAGCTGTAGGGCGTAGGCGAGTGTGGAAAGTTACTCGAGTAAGTCTTTCAAACACTGTACAACACGTTTTTAGGCTATGTTAAATCCACAACATTGAACGAAATGAGAAACGCTGCACCAGCTGATCGTAGTCGTTGCCGACTTATTTTCAATCGTACACGTATTACGTGCCTAATAAAAGGACGCTGTTTTGTGTTGTTTAATTGTTTGGAATCCTGGTGTGCGGAAAAAAAATTGTGGCAAAAGTAAAAAGTGTTCGGCAAAAGTAAGTAGATGCAGCAATTAGCAACATTCTGTGATATAATAAGTGCAAGGAAGGCAACTTTGTCAGGTGACTGTAGGAAAAATACATTTACTTGTTTCTAGTTTTATTGTGAGATTGAAAACGCATATTTGATTTCAGAAGGAAAGCATACTTTACATTGCAATGATCTACCCAATTGTGCAATATCATAAAGTAAATGTCCGACTCATCTCAAAATATGCAAACAAAGCTGGGCAAACGTTTTTTTTTTTTTTTTTTCAATTTATCACTCAAATTAGGAAAACCTCAAAAGACAATTAAATTTTAACGAACCACTTTACCTACAACTTAACTTGCGCTACCTTCTAGACCTAGTTCTAGTCAGCTGAGATATTCTCTTTGCTTATCACTTGCTATCACAAGACCTTGGCAGAAATCTATTGTCTCTAACCTGTTATTACTTTACGACTTATTGTCACGTTCGCATTGTAATTCCTGCAATGCACTCGTTAGTAAGATGGGGAAAATACCTTCACAAGGTTAAAGATATATGTGTGTGTGTAGCACTTGTGAGCTAGAGTACGAGTTTGTGAGACTATCCAAAAATTCAAGTCACATATTAACAAAGATTTTATTTTATTGGGTTTTGCGAAATTGCTTACAAAATAATTAAGAGAATTAAATTGTGCTTTGATTGGGCTAACGTTGAATATTTTATCCAAACTATTTTTTTTTTGTACAGTATGTTCAATAGGCCTAGAATCCAATATGTGAAGAGATTATTTATTCCGAATGTCATGCGTTCAATATGCTGGATATGTTCATACATCTATGTCCGGGAGTCGAAAACTCCATTCCCATCAGATAGGCCTTTATCTGTTAGTATAAATTCTTGTGTATATTCAAATACATTGGTAGATTTGAATATTCATCATAAGTAAGATATATGACTAATTTTTTATTTGGATAATTATGGGGCTAAACATTAAACTGTACAAGCTATTGGTATTCGAAGCTATACAGAGAACGTATGCATACAGATTAAGTAAGTAATTAATTGTAAGAAAATAATACAAAGCAGTAATTCATAATACACAAAATTGGCCTTTACCGGAAACGTTTGCGATTTTATTTATTGCATCCCTTTTCTTGAAGCGACGCTAAGGGTCTTTTACGTCAAAACAATATAATAGGCTCAAATCGGCTTAGACCTTTCCACCAATGAAATTTGACGTTTTAAAACTAAATCGCTATATCTTTTTACGTTTTATATTCAACCTACGTTATTATCTTTTACGTCAAAACAATATAATAGGCTCAAATCGGCTTAGACCTTTCCACCAATGAAATTTGACGTTTTAAAACTAAATTGCTATATCTTTTTACGTTTTATATTCAACCTACGTTATTATAAAATATATTGATATGGAACCTTCATTCCTATAAATGATGATAGATGATGTACTGCATTACAACCAAACTGATTTAAGATATACTGCATTACAACCAAACTGATTTAAAACGAACTAGAACAAAAAAAAACCTGAGAAAATATTAAAATCTAGACCTTTTTTCTACATAGTATATGAAAACTGAATGTATATAATATATTCTAGTTCCAGATGAAAGCCATAGGATATTTTCATTAGTTTGCATTCTCGCCATTTTTGTATGGCTTAACTTTACCTTTTCCCAGGAAGCATAATGAAACCTTGCTTTAACTCGCTGAGAGAACCTTTCCGAACTAGTAGAATGTATGTATTCACTTTTTTCCTATTTTTAGCTATGGAGCCATATCCCGGGGTATTACCATGCAATTTAGAATCACATTGAATATTCTTTTATGAACTGTTTTTTTCTGTTACACATTGTATTGAGTAGTCGTAATATTTTAATACCGGTAAAATATATTTTAGCACAAAATGTGTTAGTCCAAAGGACTTAATGGAAACTTCAATCCTGTGAAAAATGATTAGGGGCCTATATGAAAACGCCGGTAAAAAGAAGTTTAAGAATTTCTATAGAGTTTATTTTATAGAATAAATTTGTTGACTATACATCAACCTATATAGCTTATAGCTTATAGTAAAATATTTGGTAAAAAAATATAAAAAAATAGATATGTACAGTAGTTCTGAAATTTGGTCTTTTTTTTGGTTTAATTTATGTTAACGTAACATTCATTTCGTAACCAAACCAATTCCTAACAAGACAGAATGTAAAATAAAGTATTAAACCATACAAATTACTAAATATTTATCAATTTAAAATACAGTATTAATTTTGTGGCTGCAAAAATTCCAAGGTGAAACCCCGTAATTAGTTTGCCAGACGAAACCACCCAGTGCCGACCGGTAACACGGCAACCCGCGAATCGATCGGGAAAAACGGGACCAGCGGGGAAATTTCATCCCGGAACTCCCGGTTCCGCACCGCAGTCGCAGTTGGCGGCAGGTCGTTCACAGACAATGTCGCGGTTACAGGAGGGATCCATCCCTAGCATACAGGGGCGTCACACCTAGCCATGCGATTGGCAGTGGTCGTGTGTGTGGGGTGGGCTCTGTGGGGCCTCGCCCTCGCCCAGGACCCCGACCTCAACCCCGCGGACTATGAGGAGGCTCCGGCGACCATGACCATCCCCCGGGTGGAGCCCCCGACTACCCAGCAGACCACCCTGGGGCCCAGGAAGACCAGGAACTACCCGGTGTTTAACGTAGAGTTCCCCCGTGTCGAGACTCCGTTCATCATCGGGATATGGATCGTGTGTGCGAGCTTGGCAAAAATAGGTAAGTTTTAGTGTACATTTGTTTGATTGTTTTTGTACGGTATGTTCGAAATGCTGGAACGTTCCGAAATGTATTGCGGTAAAAAATATTAAATTTACCGTAGCGATAGCAGATGTAAAAGAAGTTTAGGTTCGGACGGGGTTTGTTATTGATCAGTTCGACTACTACTATATTCAAACGTTCTAGGTATGGGAACGTTTCGTAATTTACTATAGATCCATGATAAAAATATTTATTCATTGACCGCAGCAGACAAGAGAAAAATCTATGTTCGGTTCGTGGTTTGTATTGACGAGTTCGACGTCATTCTATAAATAAACAGTGATCTTAGAAGAGGGTGTTAGTTATGGTTGTAGTGTATATCTGTGTGTGCTATTGCTCTTGAATAAATATTTATTACCGTACATTTCAACATCACAAAAACCCAGGCATATCAGTAAAATGTCAATTATGATCGCGTTTAGTATAAACAAATCTAAATCAATAACTTTAAGACACGTTAATGCAACAACGGCTTATTAAACATACATTTTCTTTTAACCCGATCAAAATATCTTTTGATAAGTCATATTGGACCATAATATTTTGTTATTATTACCTTATTACCAACAATATTTATGTTCCTTTTCAACTCGAAATTACTACTCATTTCATTTGATTCCATTCGTTCTCATCGATCCGTAAAACTGCTTAAAAAAAGTTTCTTTAATAATTTTAAGTCTTATTATGTTAATTATACATAATTTCATTCATATTGTGTTTACGCACGGTGTATGCGGCCGCAATCCAAGATGGCGGCCACCACCTTGGTGGTAGGTCAGGTAATCTGCAACTAAATAACAATACCATCACAAACTTTATAAATAAACATTCATAATACAAAGCTTATAACTGAACGATTCACAACCAATGATAATTTACTTTTACCGGGTAAAGTTATTTATAAAAAAATGTTGATAATCGGTAAACGGGTTGGTAGTTATATAAACAGCACGATACGTATTTCACGTTGCACTACATGTGTTTATATTTTCGATTAAGTCTTAATGAGAACAATATGTACACATTCATGTTCATTTACATACATTTTAGTGATGGATTTTTACCATATCGTGAAATATACTATTGATTTTAAGAGTAAAAACCCTAAATCCACACTCAAAGTAAATTTTTCGATTTAATTTAAAATTAATTCTGTTTTTTTTAAAGTTGAATGTATTCATCCCAAACTGGGGTATACCGGATCATCTAAGGAGGTTTTGATGATGTTAGTTCTGAATTATCAGTAACAATTATGATTGTTGGTATACCTAAGATTGTAAAGTCAAAAGTACACCTATAGTAAGATTGGATACACTAATTTGCATAATATTCTGTATTTCATCGTTGTCTATAATCAAATCTATAATGTGTTATATTGTCAGCACATTACTAAGTCTTAACTAGGCCTTTAAAATCTTCCTAAAAGTTCCCATCCCGTCAAACCATAACTAAAATTTTACTTTGCTTACAGCTACCTATGGTAAGTATAGGTTATAGGACAGGTATTAGAGTTGCAAAGCTATGACTGTTCCTTTCCCTTAAAATCTAAAGGTGGTTTACATCATAGCCTCCGATCGGCTCCGATACGCAGGAGGTTATGTTTATATCCATTGTGACAACATTTTTTTTAAGTAACGTCCAACGTCTCTTGTTAGATGCCTTCGGAATCACTAGTGCACCTGTTGCTCGAATTCGAGCAATTGCAAAGTATTACAGGTGTTATTTCAAAACGATTAACACATAATGTCCGATGACTTAAAAGAGGGAACTCAAAGATAATGTAAACTCAAACTCAATCATTCCACTCCAGTTATCGAAACTGTAAACGAACTCACTCTGGAAACGAACGCTCTTGTGTGTACAGTATCATGTGTTTACTATGAACAGCTGTAATTGATACAATTATTCGTCTGTATAATCAAACAAAATCTTTTCATCATAATAAATATATTGAGATTTTGATGGCCTGTGGGGCAAATCCCGAGGACTTTTAATACAGGAATTGGTGGAGGGGGGCGTCTCACAAAAAATACTTGATTTTGACACATCGTTTGTAAAAATCCGTCCACTATTAACGGAGCAGTAGTGTTTCGTAGAAATCGCCTTCACGTGGATTCTTTCACAACACTCATGTATAACAATAAGTAAATAATATAGGTTTTGATCGTATATGTAGCTATAATTGGAGGATGATCTTCAATTATGAGAAAATCTTCATCACTCAAAATATTAACACAACACACCAATATTAGTAGATATGTTTACTTACAGCTATAATATATACCCCGAAATAAATATATATCCGAATATATTTAATGGATTAATTTGCAAAAAGCCAAAAAGCCATTAATAATTAATGTGATTTAAACCCTTATAACCTCGACAGCCTGTCTTTTAACTAAACGTATAAATCAATCATAGTCATTGAAATTTATTTCAATCCCGTTTTTGTTTACGCTTCATTAGCTAATAGTCGCACATTTTTTTTGAAAATATCTCTTTCAAAATAGACGAACCATACAAGTCGGTGTTTTGCCAACAACAAAAAACTCTTTGCAGTACTAATTTACTATCTGCACCGGTTTCAAAGTTGTAAAAAACTTAATGTGAACTTTAGGTGTTGTCCAACCAAGGGATGAGGAAAGCCTTATTATTTAAAGAGAGGCCCTTAGAGGCTTCTGTAGTGTGTTGAAAGAACCATCAAAGCTTTGCAGTGCTTCGTGTGAAAATAGGCAGCGTCATCACTCGTTGCTGTTGACAATTTCAACGAAATAAAAAAAACTGGAGTGCCTTATTTCATACCTGATAACATGGAATGTAGAGCAAAGTAAATCTACTTAAATATTTTTGATCATGCAATTTTCTGATTCTCAAAAGATAGGTTATGCCTGTAAGTGGGTTTTATACAATTTCAAGTTTTCGATTGTTACTTTATTTATTAGTTTTGGTAGGTAAATTGTAATGTATGTATTTAGTTTTATTTACATTCTACATGCCATTAGTCTACTCAGTCGGCTTTTAGGGTGGAGTTGAGATTGTCAAGACAGAGGTTTAGAAAAATACTTCATAATTGTACACAGCATTTGTGTCTGTTGTGTTCCACCACGTTGCGAATCAGTAGCCTAATAGTTTTAAAAAATTTGGAAGGTATTAATATTCAACCCTTGTCAAAATATTTTAAACATTTTACATATTGTTACTATGTAAAATTGGGGAGCGAGCTGGTGTAGTGGTTAGAGCGCGGGATTTCAGTCCCTGTGGTCTCGGGTTCAAATCCCGCCAAGTCACCAATGGATTTTATAGTGATAATGCCGCAACCCAAGGCCACACGGCCTTGCGCAACCCCTAGGTCTAGCCTGAAGTTATGTGAAAAACAATTCCGGGCTCGTGCCTAGCGTCCTAGGACAAAAAACAAAAACGTTTTATACAATTAATTAGTGCAATTTAAAGTTTTATTTAACAATCCCTCAACCAAGTAGTCCCACGTCTCTTGGGCACATACAAATACTCTGGCTTGGTAGGCTCCCACCGAACTTCCTTCGTCGACATCTCCCATCTCTGCACCCTCTCGTACCCTTCATAATCGACGACCTGATCCTCCACATCACTCCCTGCCTCCGCCCTCAACTGCCAACTCTTGGGTTTGCTCCGCCCCTTCTCAGTTTTGGGTTTCTTGTTGCCCGGAGGCACGTAGTCCGTCGTATAGTTTTCAACCACCACTGGATTTTCTTCCATCTGATTCCTATCGTCATCTATCGGTCGGAAGATTCTATCTCCGGAAGCAGATCGGTCTCTCTTGTAAAATTCCTTGATCAACTTCTTCTTTCCCGATGGAGACTTGTCTCGTGGTTTCTCTACTTTCTTCTCCTCCTTTTTCTTCTCCTCCTTTTTCTTCTCCTTTTTCTTCTTCTCTTCTTTGGGTGGTTTCTCCTCTTTTAGTAATAGCTCCTTATATTCATCCTCCTCCTCGATCACCTGAAAAGATTAAGGGGTGATCTATCATCATTTGTGACAACAGTTCGTTACTGGAATAAAATAACAGGATGTTTGAAAAAAATAGGGTTGTAAAACGAGTAGTTTTTATTTGGATGTTTTTAAATGTGCAAGGTTCCGAATCGCAATCTAAAATTATAAATATGTACATAATTTTACCTAAGCATGAAGAAAAAGCGTAATTCTTGATTTTGAATGCCATGTCTGGATTTTAAAATTGAACAAAAATTCTTCGATTTCTACCATTTACTTTTGTACACTGAAGTCTATCGATAGTCGATTTTACATTATCCTTGCGTTAACTTTCAATAACTTATTCATACCCAATGTTAGAATCATCTGTACACGCTTTCAATTACCGGAACTATTTGTGGTGTGTTAAAACTTGGAGCAATGTTTAGGGACACGTGCTAGTACAATATTGTACAGCCTAGTTTAGTTTAGTTTACATAGTGCAAGAATAGCCGTCGCCCGTCGTCATAGGGGGATACACCGTATTGATTGCGTTATATTTACCACCAGCCATTATGGAGCTCTTGTGTCAAATGTTTTAATATATTGTAAACTAAGGTTCAATCTACGGTAAAATAGAAAATAGCATGGAAAATGTTTTCTAAAAAAAATCCTAAGCATATTTGTGTCCCTTTCACAATTGCGCAGTTCCTTTATTCAACTTACTAGAACAACATTGTCTATAAAATGATTAATTACTAGATGCAACACGTTGATTTAACCTCTAATTGTCCTCAACCTACGTGTCAGGCGCTGACTATAATTACCAATTTATCGTTCAAGGTTACTAATGATTGTGTTTCAAATCGTACATGGCATAGGAACGATACATAAAGCAGGCAGTTGTATGTATTTATCTTAAATCTAAAGCATAAGTTGAATCAATTATGATTTTGAATAAAAAAAACATCTTCATCCGCATTATAACACAACACAAGAACAGGTAGTGAATTTTTTAGTTAGACACTCTCTATAACTAATTTGTAATTATGAAAGGTGTCTTTTGAAAAAAACATTAAAATAGTAGGATTTACTAGTGTTTATGCTAAAAAAGATTAATATTAATCCAACAAGTACGTACTCTATGTTTTATCGGTGGCTCCTGAGGAAATTTGACGTCTCCCGCCGTAGTCACTGTTCTAGGAGAGGTTTGGACCTCTTTCTCCTTCTTTCCGAGGGCGTCCGCCTTTTCGTTCAGGTACAAGACATAGGTGACCTTCTGGTAGTCAGGTCCTTCTACGTGAGGCTTCTCATGGTATTGTACAACCTAGAGAACACAGAGTATAGCGAACAACACTCTTACATACATTTTATGAAACAGAAGAAGGAATAACGTTAGGATACTAACGGAGGTATCCAATATTGTGTTCTAGCTTTTGGCTCAAGGAAATTTTTAGAAATAAATTTCAGCATGTGTGTTAGAGGAGGGACTTTTCCGTTACATAGATGATTCTTCTCCCCCCCCCTCTCCTTGATGATAACCCCAAGACACCCCCTAATAGACCTGTTTTTGGTTTTCACAATGTGGATCTTCAGTTTAATCACGTTTAATGTAGGTTCCGAACAAGTGGGTCTCTTAATCAACATATAGCTAAAAACTTTGGTTCTGAACCCGAACATATAGCGAGTTCTGAACCCGGTTCTTGAGTTTTGGGCTCCTCAACAGAATTTTGTTTATTTACAGTTTATTTTTAACATAATCTCGCCACTCATCCTACACTCATCTCCATTCATACTCATAAAATACCTACTTTGTATGGTCGCCATTTCATTGAAAAGTATGAAGTAAAGTATTTTTTTAAGAAACGGGCTAAACCCTAGTCTTGCTACTATCTAATGTCGAGCTTTTGTTAGATCGCATTATAATAACTACCATTATTACCACACTAGTCGTGATTATTACCATTAATCCATCACTATAAATTGGTGTGAACACAATTGAGTGTTTTTGTTTTTAATTGCATTTTCTGTATATTTCACATTTATATTTTTATCTCATACCAACCCAACCACAGACCCATGTATGTTGTGTTGTCCTTTATTATAATTCACCTCTTCGCGCGTCACCATTTGCTATGTTTTGTAAAAAAAATAATGATGAATGTTTGTAATAACTTTATTTTAAGAGGGGGGGGGGGCTGCTGTAAAATCTGCTTTATGTAATGATGTTACATAAAATATGTGATCTTTAACTGTAACTTGTATTTTCGGTTTGTCTTGGTTATCAAGTCGGTGTATACTACCAAAGATTACATATGCTACGCAAAATTATGATATTAGCAAAAATGATACCTACTACTTACACTTTGTGAACCGAAAGAAATCAGTAATTTAGAGTAGCACAAGCTTTGTCGGTGTCTCAATAAAATTACGTTCATTTTCATAAAACACCAACTACAACTTAAACACGGCAACGCTACGTGAAACAATGACATCGTGTAAACGTGCGTGTACAAGTACCAAGGTTCGTTCAATACCTCAGGTGATCTCCAGCTGTCCCAACATGGGCGGAACCTGTGACTGTTTTGAGTCGGAGACAAACTTCCAGCTTCCGGTGAGAATCTGGGACTATTGTTCAGACACAATACCAATGAGTTCACTATTGTGTTTAAATTGTCACAATGTGTTCAAAGGCTGTCACTGACATGAATCTGTGTATTATTGTTTCACTGATTGGAAATTGGTTTGATTATTGTCGTAATTGGTCTTTTATCAGTCGAATTATGGGTATTAGGCCTAGATGTTTATGGAATGATACGTTTTGATTAACCTATTTGGTTAGTTGCTTGATTTGATAAAGTTGAAGTCAAGCCTAACTTTGTTGAATGTTCTACAGCACTAGTATTACTTTGTTGCTTGAGAGTTATTTGTAGTCACAACATTCGTGTGACAAAGACCTACTTGAGTTGGTGTTGTCACCGAGTTTTTGTCAAAATAGAGCATACATGCTAGTTTTTGTCCAAGTGTATTATGCTTTAGGCTCTACTCACTCACGCAATACCTGAACACTATGCAAATACGCAGAAGTTTCAAGTCTGTTAAAAGTTATCGCCAGCTTATTTCTTAGCTTGGTCTAACGCTAAATTGGGCAATGAGGTTTTCCAAGAAGTTTTCAAGTTAACTAGTGCTCATTGGTTAGAATAGATAAAAGTAGTTAAATTAGTTGACGCCAATTATTTCCTCTATTCCCACATCTACCTCTTCTATCACTATCTCTACCTCGGTTTTTATATATTCTCACTTAACAGTATCTCTTTCCCTTCTCCTACTTTTACATCTTCCTCTTTCCTTACCCCTACTTCTACCTCCAACTCTACCTCTTCCTCTATCCGCACATTTACCTCTTCCACCACTACCTCTACATCTACTTCTTCATCTATTCTCACATTTATCTCTATCCCTATCCCCATCTCCACTATTCAACTCCTCTATCTTTCCTTATTCCCACTTCTATTTGTTTTTCTATCACTGTCCCTACCTTACCCTTTTCCCATATTAATATCCCTACCTACCCTACCATTACCTCTACCTCTATTTCTACCTCCAACCATATCTCTACCTCTTCCCTTATCACCACACCTAATACTTCTTCTCATTACCTGTACCCCTACTTCTTACATTTCCCTACTTCTACTTTCACACCCACTTCTTCACTACGTCTACATACCTGAGGGTATTTAGGTATCCTCCCATCCCCCACTTGACACTTCTGCATCGCAATCCACCCGAAGTGGTTCTCCAAAGTCAACCTCCGTTTCTTGAAGTCGTTCAGAGGTAGAGATGACAGACTTCCACGTTGCTTCAACTGCATTCGCCTCCGTTCTCGAGCCGGCTCGTTTCTGTGTGACATGTTGCGATTCTCTAAAATTACTTGACTTGAAATTTTGAAACCTGTTTACATTGTTTGATGTTTGGTTTTGTAATAATGTTTGGTGTATGTGTGTCAGCTGATAAGTGTGATTTAAAAATTTAATAGTTTGCTTTGGGAAGCTGGCTTGGTTTACAAACATGCAGCTACCAATACAATAATTTTTTTGTAGATAGCATCCTGAATATTAGAACCGAAGAATATTAGAATTATTTTATTGCAATATTTGTGAGTAGGATACAATTGTTTTATTAACCGATTTACAAAACTCTTCAACGTTGGTAGATTAACCTTGGATACTGAAAATGGAAAAAATTGGAAGATTTCTATATGTATTTCAAGTCCGATACAGCTAAAACGTTCATTTGCTCTTTTTTGAGGGAAATTGCCATATTGTGTGCTTTACTTTTTGAGCACAAGAAGCAACTTTGATTAGAAACACCAGAGAAAGGGCAAAAGTTTACTAATGGATGTTGTATTTGTTCAAATATTAAGATATATTACTAAAGTTAATAAATTAACAACGGATTCACAAGAGTTATGAATGTAATGGGAAATATATTTGACATTTTAAATCTTTTTAGTGTTTGTTTACAATTAAATAAAAGTGTATGATGAGTAATAAAATTAAACCACTTTACAAAACATAGTTTTTTGTCAATTTAGTACTTGTTTGGTTAATCTTGGTTCTAAATTGATGTGGTTTTTAACATTACATTTTTATAATTCAAGCATAAGCATTCTTCGGCAAAATTACTCAAGTTGCCCAAACAAACGGTTCGAATTGCAAAACAAGTAAATACTGTAAACTACGTACACACTGCTTAGTTTAGTTGTATAGTCAAGGTTGTACTCACAACAATCATAACTATAACTTTGGATGAGTTGACAAACGCTGTTGCTGATAGTCTATATTATCACCCGGAAAATATAATCGGTAGCTAAAAATAACTCGTGGCTAAGATTGAAGTTGACAAGGCGTGACGAAAATGTTTCTTTGGACCAATACCCACTAAAATAATTTCCTGCTTGGCTTCCCTAAAAGTATTTTAAAAGCTTATTTTTATAAAATGTATCAATTTATTTATTCTCGAAGCAAAACAATAGATAAGTGTATGCTAAATTAGGTGCGCAAATAAAAACATTTATTTTTACAAAAAAGTAATGAAAATCCTTTTTGTAATTGTAAACAGTTGTGATGATCAGTCGTCTAGTTTAATGGAAGTCCTACACTGTTTCTCTATTAAAATCTTTAATCAACTACTGATACTAACTTATATAATTAGTTTAGGTCAAATGTTAGAAAAGTAGAAGCTATCAGCATTTGTTTAAGCAATTACTGAAACTTACAATATTTACTTTTGGTGTTTCATATCTTTAGATAGTTTGTACTCTGTACATGGTAAAATTAATAACGAGGTTTTTTTTATTAAAATTAAGTGGAATCAAATCAATTGCATTGGTTACATTAAATACTTAACAGAATAACTAATTACGTGAAAATTACATTGCTTTATACTTTTACTTAGTTTTTATTAGTTGAAGAATTGATAAAGTTCCAGGTAATTAACTAGATATTATTTTCTTTTCATCATAATCTAAATGTTAATTCAAATCCGTATTTTACTAAACAAAATGCTATGTAGATTGTGACTCATGAGGCTATTTCTCATTGGGCTTTCCATTAATGACGATCTCTAGCCAAATGTAGATTTTTGGTAGGACCAAGACCATGGTTTGGACCGTTCCCTTTCAAAAACATACAACTTACTTAAGACGTTAGAGTAAATAAATAAAATATTAATAAACTGGAGCTACTTTTGCTCGAACTCGAGCAATTGCAAAGTGTTGCAGGCGTTATTTCAAAACGAATTAAATGTCCAATGACTTAAGAATCAACTCAAAGATAATGTAGTCAATCACTCTACTCCAGTTATTGAAACTGAAAACGAACGCTTTTGTATGTATCATGTGTTTACTATGAGCAGCTGTAATTAATACAAATTATTCGTCTGTTTAAGTAAACAAAATATTTTCTTCATAAGAAATACATTGGGATTTTGATTGGCTTTGCCCGAGGACTTTTATTACAGGAATTGGTGAAAGGGGTGTCTACACAAAAATACTTACTTTTGACACATCGTTTGTAAAAATCCGTCCATTATTAACAGAGGAGTAGTGTTTCGTAGAAATCACCTTCACGTATTATATACAAGGATTATGCTAAAGTCAAACCAGTCGATGACAGTGAAAATAAACTCATAGTTGATGGGAGGTTCTCTGAGTCTGATGTAGTGGTTCATCTCGTCAACAAACCGCTTCCAGCTGCAAAATTTAAATTAAAACTTGTAAAACGCTTTTATGCAGCAATTTCCGCGGGCGTCTGCCCGGTTTTGATGAAACGTGGATCATTTGTTAAAGTAACTTCCATGTGAAAGCCGACCTTTCTTTTACCATTGGTCATACCAATTTATTATGTCGGGTGTTTATAAAGAATGAACGAACTTTGCATGTATACATGAAGAAAAGTGATGCGAAAGGGCAGATGGCCATTGATTATAATAAAGTAATAAGTAATAAAAAAAAAAAAACACAGTTTCAGACATATTCATGATCTTTAGATAATCCTGAGAATCCAACAAAATTATTATCAACCCAAACTCTATGCATTCTTATTCAAATGTAATTATATTTATCAGCTGCATAGATTAATCTGTAGTAAATGTTTAAAGTAATTGTAATGATTTAGTGTCACTAATCTATTCATCTTAACGTAAGTAAGAGTTAACCCTTTTTATATTTGGTACTTGTTTTGAAAATTGTATCTTATGTTAATTTTCGAATCATTTCAGTATTAAAGTGAGAAATAATTAGCGTTTTGATTGTCAAACTTAAACATGGTAATTTTGAAAGTCGGTAGAAAATATTGAGGATCTCATCTTTGTAGGCAACTCTGCTGATATTAATACTAAAGACTGGGACGGGTGGCGTCGTCCTGTAATCCAGCTACTAGGAGGTCACGAATTGTGGATATTTGTAGGCATGCACTGTGGATGCGATACTCCCTGGCGTGGATTAACGTCCGCACTAGTGAGTACCACGACTATCCGCAGTACTATCCTGATAATTAGAAAATTCATAGTATTAAAGTAAAGTAAATTCGTAAATACCAAGGCAAAAATGTGGTTCGGATTCCACAATAAACTGTAGGTCCCTTAGTTGCCATTAGCTGTATGGGCTATCAATTAACAGCTGTCTATAAGGAATATGTCGGCCTTAGTTACTAATAAGACTACAAGATCGCGCCACACATCCTACACTCATCTCCATTCATACTTGGCTTAAAATACCTACTTTGTATGGTCGCCATTTCGTTTAAAAAGTACGAGAGGTCGTCCAGTGGTCGAAACTCGACCAAAAATATTTAATGTACAGACTTCTTTATTTTCATTCCACACTTTGAATAGAACATGTGATTGGAGTTTCTTCCATTTGTTTTGATTTTCTGTTTATATTTCGTTGTTATTTCGTCACCAGCATGGCAACTCATAATATCCATGTTAAATATTTCAAAATTTAAATTCATTTTTTGTGCTTATTTTTGAGCCTATTTTAATTTATAAAGGGATTCTGCACACCTACAGGAAAATATCTTTCTAACAGTATGCGTAGATTTTCCCTACGATGCACATGAGCTGAGAAAAAAGGTTTTAAAGACACATGCTTGCCTATTAATATATAGATAGATAGATTAAAAACATTCACAGTATTAAGATAAAAATGTAGGGTAGATTCAAATAACAAGCTTTTACTACTCCATGATATCACCAGCACAAAGCATGGGGTTTTAAAACCATCTCCCAATGCTGAATTTGTTAATCTACTTTAGATGCGCAGTTAGAGCCCATTGTATGGTGCCTTAGATAAGCAAGGTAGCAAGGTCGCACAAAGCGAGGAGAATAACGCGAGAATTGCGTGTTGGGAAGACATGGATGCTTTGTTGCTCTCCGCTGAATGAGATTAACAAATAATGGACTACGTAGAATGTAATTTACTGCATTACGTTGCAAATAAGATTAAAGACATAACGTGTCTTGGTAGATGATCCTACATACGTGCGTTTTATACTTTTAGAGCCTCTATTAATTCGGTGTAGGAAAAGCTGGAGTGGTTTTGTAGACAATTTAAATACTTGTGACTTACTGGAGTATTCTGATAAATTACTATGTGGAGTTATCATTTACAAATACAAACTTGTATTGGCAATAATCCAAATGAAGATGGTAAATATTTGTATTATTTTTTGACTATTAAAGAGGTAACTCGAAGAGACAAGGACCATTTCCCACCAAGTATCAAAACGTCCTAGCCTAATGGTTTGAAACTCTTAGTGTGGGTGTATTGTATTAGTAGCTACAGCAATTCCAACCTAAAACAATAGCCACCTATTACCAAAGTAAGTCGCAACAGCATTAATTGTAATTAATTCATGATTAGAATTGTATTTGGTTAAAATTATTAAATTTAGTGCGATATTTTGTTGGTTAGGATAGGCCTAAACGATTAAATTGTAATGACGTTATGTTTACATTAGATTTCTTTATGGTTCAAATTTTGACCCGGATGCTCTGACGTACATAAAACCATGGAGAAAACTGGCCCAGCTGATCCATAATCGTACAGGGGGAAGAGGCCTACTTCTATTCTGCAATTAAACACAATCCCATTTATATTTACCATCTTATTGATCTACCGAAGACAATTTGACCCACAAGTTTCGATATTAACACGAAACTGGCATAAACGCTGGCTTCATGGTTAAGGCCTACTTTATAGGATGAGCAATCGACTTGCAGTATTCGATGGCAAAGTTAATATTCGGATCTAGTCACTGGATAAGAGTGGGACCTATTTTTATTTGTTACTAAAACCCCCTCAATCGTCCAAATAAGTCAGCTTTAGACAGTTTCAACCACACGCTTCTGTCTAATTCATGTTGAGTGTGTTTTTACAAATAGTACAAAACTTAGCTTTCATGTTTCATATTT